TTTTTTTTTTTTTTTTGCCTCAGCAGCTTCGTTTGAACTTTACTGTAAACAAGTTTGCAAGGGAGGCGACGAGCTGCTCGCCCTTCCCCAAGAGACCAACCCTCCCTCCGCCATACGATCCATCGGCGCCGGCAAAGGGAAACCTTCCTTTCCCCTCTTTTTCTCCCTCTGATTGAGTTGGTAATTTGGGGACGGTCCCTTCCCCGGGCATTCTGAAGCGGCGAGGAAACTCAAGAGGCTCCCGTTTTCTGCTGCAGTGTTGCGGAAGGGAGGGGCGGAGGCGGAACGGGAAGGTCCCTCTTTGACGGCTCCTGTTAGCGAATGTTTTCTTCGCCGATGGAAAGTTCGACCTCTTTGTGACATAGAGCCAAGGCGGCTCCGAACAGCCCTCAGCAGGGGCGGGCAAAGGGGCATCACGCATCCCCGGGCAGCAGGCCTATGGGCGGTCCCCGCACGCCGGATAAACCCAAGCAGCCGAGGTGGGTGGGGCAGGAGGACGAAAGGGCTTCTCCTCCCCTTCCCAACCAGTGCGGCCCTTTGCACGGGGCTGGTAATTCGCAGACGGTCCCTTGGCTTGGCCGAGTTGGTTTGTTGTGGTGCCACGGTGTGCTTTCACAGCCCGGCGAGGCAGACCGGGCTCTTCGCGAGAGGCGTAGCCGGCGGAGGTGCAGTTGGCCCGGAAAGGGCGCTGCCCACAAAAAAATAAAGGCCCGCAAAAAAAGTGTCCCATCGCGCAGGCAGCAATTGGAAGATGGTCCCTCGGTAGCCGTGGTTGGATGATGGAGCGAAGCCCCGAGATCTGAGTTGTGCACCTGCAGGTCAGGTAGGGAAGCCGGTTTTTCTCCCCGCTGGCCGCGTGCGGGGAAAGGAGAATCCCTTGCACGTTCCCTGCCTTTCTTGAGAATGAGGAGCAGCGTTTGAGATCCCCCGGGGGGGGGGGACTGGAGAAGGGGAAGAGGATGCCTTGCCCACGAACTATGATTCTGGGTGACGGTGGGAGGATGGGTGGCTCAGCGTCGGCATGAGGGTTCCCCCCCCCCTAGTCAGACAAGATACCTTTTTGCCTTCCTTCCCACTCCTCTCTGAGTATCCGGAAAGCAAGATCCGGTAAGGTGGAGGTGGGGAGGAGGCCTCAGTCGTTACTGAGTCAATTGGTCTGGCACAGCTAAGACACAGAGAGCAAGCAGGAAGGTTTCCCTCAAACATATATGCTAGTCGTTCCCAACTCTAGGGTGCTCATCTCAGTTTCAAAGCCAAAGCGCCAGCTCTGCCCGAAGACGCCTCCCACCAAAGGTGGTTCCTATTTTTCTACTTGCATTTTTATACGTGCTTTCAAACTGCTAGATTGGCAGAAGCAGGGACAAGTAATGGGAGCTCACTCCGTTATGTGGCACTAAGGATTCGAACCCCCGAACTGCCGACCTTTCTGATCGACAAGCTCAGCATCTTAGGCACTGAGCTACCGCATCCCTTATTCCCTTTGACTACCCTACCCCTAAATGAATAAACACACAAACCCCACCCACCCACCCACCCAACCCCAATTGAACAGAAAGGCCCTTACTTGTCCATGCTCTATTTTGGTTCTTGGAAGGCACCTGACTGGGCAGAGTTGGAAGCAGGGTGCCAGGCCCTTGGGTGGGTCCAGTGCGGCTCCTATATCCTCCAGGTGAAAATAACTTCCAACACAAAAGTGGAAGCAATGTATTGTGTTGTTGTTTTTTTAAAAAAAGAATATTTGCAAGGTGCCTAACATCCATTTGTCCCTGGGATACTTCTGATAAAAGACAGATTTGGTTTTTTGCAAGTTAGGTGCTAAATGTTGAAACTTTGTTGTGCCTTCCATATGGTATACCGTGACTCTGTCTTAGGGTACATTTATGATAAAATGGTACCTTTGAATAAGCTCTGAATGTATTTTTATCATTATTGGCAGCCAGACTGGATATAGGAGCCGTGGTAGCATGGTGGCTAGAATGCAGTATTGCAGGCTAATTCTCCTGACTGCCAGGGGTTCAATCCTCACTGGATTCAAGGTTGACTCAGCCTTACATCCTTCCAAGATGGGTAAAATGAGGATCCAGATTGTTGGGGGCAATAGACTGACTTTGTAAACTGCTTAGAGTGCTATAAAGCACTATAAAGCGGTATATAAGTCTGCTATTGCTATATCTGGAATCTTTCTCCTGGACAAAGAAAAAGTGCTAGCAAAAAGGCCTGGCTAATGTATAGTACTTCAGTCTATGGGTGGCAACACTGAATTTTTCATGTCAAGAAAATCAGGGCCATGTTGGAGGGAGAGATGATGCACAGCAGAAAATTTCATCATTGCATCTTGTTTTCATAGCACAGAGATTGATTGTTTGAATTTATAAGCCATGTCATATGTCACCTGACGTCTCTATGAACCATTTATAATCCAGGCAGAATTTACCCTCATAGGCCTTTTTCTCACTGCTTGTTTTCCACCTGTGTTAATTCTCAGCAGAAAACTGTCTCTTGTCTCTATTGCTTCTTTCTACCCTGCTTCTATTACAGCTATGTCAGACCACTTCCCTCCAAGTTAAAGGTCAAGAAACCTTATGTGCACCTTGAGGCTTTCCTTGGATATTTCAAGTCCAAAATGGTTGAGGATGACTTTAAGGCAGTCTCCCTCGTGGGCTGGAGGCAAAATTAAGGCATTCATGAGGACAAGGCAGAGAAGAGATGTTGCCTTGCTTAAATGGAAGTAAGGAAGTACATTACCAAAGAACTGAAGGAGTTTCACCTCTCTTACCACTGCACAAGGAACATGCCCAAAAATTGGTTTTCTACTTCAGAATAAAGCAGCATGTTCTGAAGTTTCTGCTGAACTGTTTCAGGTTAGCCATGGTTCAGCAGGATTGAAATCCAGAATTTGGGGTTATTTGGGGGTATGGATGGAACAAAATCCAAATGGGATAAGTGGAGCAAGGGAGGTGCACATTTGTCCTTCTTTCCCCTCCAGAGCTGTCAGTGTAGCATAGGCCACCAGGCTGTTTTCATCACAGTCTTTCCATCCTTCCCTTTCCTCAGCTGCTGCCACTGCTGGTCTCCCAGTGGCTCTTTCCCATCACCCTACCTGCCCTTTCAGTCTTCCCAGCAGCTTCATTTCCTCTCTTCTATCATTGATATTGTGGCACACTGTACTCCATCAGTCTAACTGCTCCATCATCTTCTCAGAGTCTTCCCCTTCTTGCCTCCTTTTCTCCCCATGGGCTAGTAGTTATATCCTCAGATTTCCCCTGCTTCCCCCTCCCCACTTCTGCATAGAACAAAACAGACCCAAATACTCCACACAGGCAGGTTTGGGGTAAGGACCAACCCCAACCTCCCTGTTCCAAACATAAAACCCCTTCATTGACAGATATTTAGTAGTTTTAGTTTAGTTTTTTAGTTTATTTGTATGCCGCCCTTTTCCCTGGGGGGACTCAGGGCGGCTCACAATCGAAAGGAAAGGGGGGGACAGACTTTTACATATAAGACAGTACAAGATTAAAACGTAAC